GTTGTATGATGCGAAACAAATTGATTTTCATATAGAATGTTCTCAATAATCATAACTAGATTTATTCAATAATGCATGACATCTGGCTTATTTCCAAGAAAAGATGACTTTTATCTTATTTATTTTTGAACTTAGTTTAAATATCTGTCAAGTGTTCTTATAATTTTCTTCTTTTTTCAATCATTTTTCATCTGATTCTACTTCATGATGTTATTTATCATTAGATTATTAGAAAACATTAAAAGCAAAACAAACTATTCGTATAGAATAATAAACACTTGTAAATTTATTGAAATAAATTCGTCTCCGTGATAAATTGAAATGAAGAAACAATTTATGTGGTAAACACTTTCTATTTGTTCTTTTGTCTCTTTCTAAAAATGACTTTATAAATGTAAAAAAAAGTAATTTTGTATAACTCTCTATTGCTTAAAACAAACATTTTAGATTATTATGGACATTCTAAATTGACAATTATTTGTTGGAATAACATAACCTTAATCATACCTAGCGTATAGCAAAAGCCGTTTGTTACTTTCAAAATTACTAATTGTATCAGAAAGGGTTTTGCGGATATTATAGTAAGTTTAATAGTTGAGATCATGAGTTAATTAAAGCTAGACCATCATGAAAAACTTGGAAGCACTGGAACGCCGTTTCGTCCTATTATGGGACTCCTCAAAAGAGCACATCCACGATCACGTATATGGGACTTAAACCCTAGACCTTCTGTCTCCTGTGTGAACGCTTAACCTCTAAACCGTTAAAACGGTATCCAACTTCAAATGATCCACGAAATTGAGTGACACATACACTGTTGCCTTCATTGGTCACTACTTCTCACTAGAACTCCAGAAAATACATTAACACCATTCGATGCTGTCTCAGTGGTCTAGTGTTTAAGCGTCCTAGAGCGAGACCGATAGGTCATTGGTTCGAATCTCTCGAGGCGGGATCTTGGATGCGCACTGCTCTGGAATCTCATAATAGGATGAATCAGCCGTCCAGTACTTCCAGGTTTTCCATGATGGTCTAGCTTCAATGGACTCATGATCTTAACTATTAAAAATTATAAATGATACTTGAATCAATACAAATTACCTAAGAAACTAAATTTTCTATTTAACTTCTTACTAGATAGCAATACAAATGAGGTAAGCACATTTCTAGTAAGCTCTATATAAATGAAATAAATTGCCACAAAATAATTCCATTTAAACTAGGTAATTGATGGCCTTCAATCATTTGTTTAAAAAGGTTGATACATATGTTACGACTCGATTCACGCTTTTTAATTTTCATTGTATGTATACATACAAGAGTTTTGTTTAGTATATAGATTAAGTTAGCTTTATGCATTGACTGCAATTTTGATTATCAAATGAAACATCTTCACAATACCCTTGATTTACAAAGATTTTGATGATTATTTTTTCTTGTTGCTAACATATACAGATTATTGATTTAATACTTTCTAAGATGAATACTTTAATCATGAATAAAACAAAAAGTATATTTTTCAAAATTCTATCAGTATCAAACTAGTTTGAAAATGTTTTATTTTAATATTCTAAATTCTATAGTTCATATTTTATTCAGTCGTAAAACATTTTACAATTTACTATATTAAAGAAATCACAGGCGATATTCTAGTTTTACGTACAAACATTTTATTAAATAAGAAAGATTAGTTCAGCGAAGAGTTCTCTTTTCTCGGGGAATTCATTTTCAAAACTGGACAGTCGTAAATATATATATATAAGGGATGATAATAATACTTCTGTTAGACATGATGACAGTGAGGTTAAATGAAGGTATTTAAAAAAATTTTTTTAAACAAAGAAAGTTTAATAGTCGTTTGATTGTTAATGGCTTAAGTATTCCCCAAAAGATAGATAGGGTAATTATCATTGGGAAACGAAGGTTCAGCATAAGATAAAGTGTTGAAATTGAGATAAAATGTAATCGGAATGATCGTGAAAACAAAAATAAACTAGTTGGGGGTGGAGAATTTAAGGGAAAGATGGAAGGTGAAGCAGATGGCTGTAAAGGAAGAAGAGTATGAAAAAGAGAAAAAGATCCATATGACATTAAGACCATGGTAAAAGAAGAGGTTGTACTGGTCTCTTTTGCACACATCAGTCAGTCAGCTGCAACGTAGGACCAGGCACGTATATGCATCGGTCCAAGTTGCCATACCGTATTAGCACAACAACATGAACACCGGATTCATAGAAGTAGTTAATTCAGTGGTGGTAATATAGAGAAGAAAGATTGCATATAAAGATATAGTACAGGAAGAAAGAATTAGTTCGTAGAAAGAAAGATATGAAGCGATTCTAATCTCTTACTTTAAAGGAAGACAGAGAGTGTATACACCGACGCCATTGTGATCGATTCTGAGCCATGTCACCAAGAGTCTTCAGCCATTGGTTACGATAGTCACGCGGACCCCAACCAGATAGTCTGCATCTATCAACATGGCTCAGACTAGAAGTTAGCGACTTCAAGCACTGATACCACGTTTTGGTTTGGCCGCCACTAACTTTCTTCCAATTATCCCGAACACCGGTTAGCGTTGTGCGTCGTGGTAATCGGTGTTCAGGCATACGCAACACGTGGCCCAACCATCTCAGTCGATGAGGATTCATAACCTCATCAACTGATTTACCATCATTCCCTAATACCCTGCGTCTAACCTCACTATTACTTACCCGGTGATCCCAGCAGATACCCGCAATATTTCTAAGGCACCTGTGGTCAAATACTAGTAACTTACGAATATCTTTTGCACACATAATTCTGGTTTTTCCAGATGTATGGCTAATGCTTCGGCAGTGCAATCTAATTGTTTTTGTAAGGCTTCTACTTACCTTGTAGATGACTTTGAACGCAGAGTCTGTCTTAATTGAGTGACTTGTGTTCATAAGTTGTACGATTATTGAACTTCTTATTGAGCCACTGCCTCCTCTTTTTAGCCACGCCGGACAATGTTCTTGAATTCTTTTGGATGAAGTATGCATCGAACAATCTATATACCTAACTCCACATGAACATTTTATCGTTTGTTATTAATTTCGTTCTAATTACTAGATTTACAAATCACTGTAAGTAATGCATAATTGATTGTAAAGGTAAAGATTACAATGTTACAGTAATAAAAACGAACATTCAAAATATTGGATAACTTTAGAAGAAACACAAAAACTATCCAATTTTTGAAGTACAACTTACAAATAATAAAATTTCCAGTAATACAAGAAGGATTTGACGAATTATGTGTTAACTCTTTTTTTTGTACCACATGGTACGTTCAAGTCATCCAAGAATGCTAGGTATGTTCAATAACAAACGTTTCTCAAGAGAATGATAACAAATCGAACTTGATCCTAGATTGTCGGCTGCCTGAGTTTCATAATCCTCTCGAATATATCATCGGTATCTACAACAATTGGTAACTCAGGATTCTCTTGACTAGTTAACGGTACACGGTAATCCACAGCATCATATAGGTCAACAAATCAGGCATTATTTTCCTTTATATTTGTTGGTAATGTAATGAGCAACATTAAGACAAAAGACAGTTAAAAGTAAATATGCAAACATTTAGAAAATCACAGGTGGAAGTAACCCTGAGATCAGCTAAGAAAAAGCGTGCGACAGTTTCCGATATCTACAAAAATTAATGGAAGTAAAACAGATTGGGGCTTACCACATAGAACATGTAAGAATGCTAGGAAGTATGTAACGACCGGAAGGTACTAGCGAAATACCAAGAAAATACGTAATTTACTCAAAGTATTTAACCCTAACATTTTAAATAACGAAATTCCAGGACACTGAAGCAACAAAAACAGCAATGATACAAGAAAATCAGAGAAAAAAACACAGGACAAAACATGTCAAAAGTAATAATCCCACCTCATTCTGATTGGTTGCTAGGAGGGATGTTGAAATTACAAAGGGAGTTGAGTTTATTTACAATCGTTAATTATTTTGTCAACCATCACTCGGACAGCGTGAATAGGTAGAAAAACTACGGAAATAAAAATTGTGACCTACTAATAATATTCCAGTATGTAGAAAACTGAATTTCTGACGTTCCACAATTTAGTGTCAATCTCTTCCAGGAGTAAATAACCTTCTTCCAAATTGAAATATTAAAATGAATATGCCAATTCAAAATATTAAGTATACAACGAACAAGTTTGATCATGGTCATGTTACATGATTCTGGTCAAAAAAGCTATTTTACCAACCTACAATATTACACTCAAGATTCCGTCTAATGGTATTCACTGGGATATTATTCAGCTCCAAAGTGCAAACCATATTCGTATGGATTTTCCTATTTGTATTCTTTAGATCTAAGTGTTTGATAGCTCTTCTGAATAAATAAATAAGAGAAAGTTCATGACTAAAATAACGCGCAAATCTGAAATTTATGTAGGGGTATGAGTGTATGAAATTACGTTAAACTTTAATTGAGAATTCGACTTATATCTTGTTAATTAGACTTTCTGAAAATGGTTGTTTAACACTCAAAAAATTGGTTTTGTGTCTATGGATTAGACTTTTATTCAGTCAGTAATACAATACTTGGAAAATTAAATATATAAAACATTTCAAGAATTTCCTGAAGTAAGCTCTAATGTATACATTTTGGTCACAGAATTGAATTAGTTGTTCGCGTTGCTTATCTCACTATTCAGTTAACTTTGGCAAAAGTATTAAAGTAAGTTATGTTCGATGGTCTTCGATATTCATTTTAATCTATATATCCCAAGCTACACAAACCTAATTTTATTAGACTATCTTTTGGTGTAAAAATCACTAACTTTTGAGAAAAATACTTTCATCAAATCAATACTTAAATGACGAAAGAGTAAATTTACTTTCATAAAACTCATATATCTAATGTCACTTTATAAATCGGCTGATCAATTATTTCCTTCCTGTAAGCAATCTTAGTTTAGTTATCTTAAAATGTTTTTCACTATATGATAAAGCACTTAGTAAGTAGTGATGATGATGATGATGATGATGATGATGATGATGATGATGATGATGATGATGATGATGATGATGATGATGATGATGATGATGATGATGATGATGATGATGATGATGATGATGATGATGATGATGATGATGAAACCATTCGAAGCCTACAGAGAATACTTCAAAGTAAAAGTAGTTTGTAAGCGGCTTTTTTTAATGGCTGATAACTAACATTATATATTTTAATTTTTAATTGACTTAATAATATAAAGAAACACACCTTAAATAAGAATGCTAAAGTACATTCTGAACAAAAACGACTTACAAACCTGAAGTATTTGAAGAAATGAACTTATAAAATTTGCTCCTATAAAATGTTTTATCTTTTCTTCAGGTTTTCAAAATGTAAAATTTCATACATTTAGAAAGTTTAGAAATTCTCATTACCGATGTACTGAAAAGTATAAATAAACATTGGCTGCAACTGCATTTCATCATTAAAATGGAGAGTAAAGTCGCTTGCAGCTTCGCGAAACGCCCCGTTTACCAGTGCTGAATTTCTACAAACTCCTTACAACGTCCTGAAGTATGTGGTTCTACTCCGGGTAACCGCGAGTTTGACCGTAAACAAAGGTCGTTACATAACGAAATTGCTCAAAGCTTAGGTAAAGACCTTAAATTCTAGCTATTTGAAAACAACAGCTGAATCTGGCAACCATCAGAAGCTATTTCAGCTCATCCCGGACACTAGCAGTACGAAGTCTGGTGTGAGTGAAACAATATGTGAAGCTAACGGAATACAAATCAATAACGTCTACCGACGTCTTGGATGGTGAGCAGAGTTTTTCGAGGAGCAGTTCAACTGGTCTAATTACCAGGTGACATGAATCAGACTTACCACCAGCCCATTTTAATGATGGGGACTTTGTGGTTGTTGGACTGAGTTCTTTGCAAATGTCTCGTAATCAGAACGTGTTCTGACATCTTCGGATCAGTTCATAGTTGTTCTTATCTTTGAAAATGATCCACGTCACCTAAGCAATAACTGTCAGAGGATAAAAATCTATTTTCAATTGCGTCCAAACTATTGGCTTCTGCCATACTTTGTAGATTGTTCAAAACCCGTGAAAGACTAACTCGCGAGGAACAGGCTGATTTTCATTCTGGTCGAGGATGTTTTGATTATATTTTAACCCTTTGCCAAATGTTAGAACACCGTCAAACTTATTACAGGTCGATAATCGTTGTGTTTCTTGACATTTGGACCTCCGTTGATTCGTTGATCAGAACTGTTCTCTGGGGTTATCTATTGAAGAAGGGTTTGCCTGAGAATTTCACTAACATGTCTTATATACAAGCATCCCAAGCAGAGAGAGAGTACACAACCACAAATCTCCATTGTTCTGTTCAAGCAGTGGAATTAAACAGGATTACCCAACCTCACCATTTTTCTTCAAATTTGCCTCCGATGACCTTCTAGAAACAGTTCTGATGGATATAGGTAGTGGCGGTGTGGCTCTGTTACCTGGAAAATGACTTCTTGACCCTGAGTATGCGGATGATGTTGTCTTACTGTGTGATAGTACCCAAGCCACACAATCCGCACTAATAAGATGGCAATTAGTGTCCGTAGGTACGGTATGTGCTTTGTACCTTCGAGGTGCAAAGTACTTCTACAAAACTGGAGGGACCTTGAACTTGCAATCACTCTGGGTAGTGAGCAGATAGAAGTAGTCGAGATGTTCGTGTATCTGGGTAGCTGCATAAGTGCTTGTGGTGGCGTGAGTGTTGAGACCAATTCATGTATTGTGAAAGCCAGAACGGCTTATGCCAATCTGGGCCATCTTCGGCGCATTCATGATGTTAATCTGGTCGTAAAAAGGCGGATCTACAATACTTCGATGAGAGGAGTTTTGCTTTATGCTTGTAGAACCGGGCCTCTCCGAGTTGAGGATGTTAGACGACTCTCAGTGCTTGATCGTCGTTATCTCCGAAAGATTGTTGACATCCAGGGACAATAACATTTTATTAAAACAGATGTTCGGCAACTTGTGTTCGGGCACAGTGACGATAATTCAATTGGTGTCACTATCTTGAAACATTGACTTCGGTGGCTTGGACCAGTCCTACGAATATCATTCCAATGAATTTCACATCGTGCATCATTTACTGAAGCTGACACAGGTTGGATGTGGTTAGTGCACAACATGGTGTCGTGGTATGGAAGAAAGCTGCATAGTAATCGCTTACTTAGATGCCTCACGACTTTGTGGTTGGAGCACCAAAGATGATGGAACACAATGGCTAGAGATGTTGTCATACATGGCTCAAAATATAAACTAATGGTGATCTTGTTGTGACTTTGTTTTACTTCCTTCATAAGAAAAAGTACCTTCATAAACACAGGGAAATCTTTCTGGTTGCATTTTTCCTAACCAAGCTGCTTCTTTCAGTATTATTGTAGTGAACAGAACGCCGGTGGGGAACAATCGAATGCATTTGACACAAAATTACAGGACTTGTTAGTAAAATCTAACAACCATGTAGTATATGCTTAATTTGTAAAATGTCCATCAATTGTCTCAAAATGACTCAGACGTCATTGTTCTTACATTTCCATGCAAATTGCATTGTGTTTCTATTCTTTACTGTTCGATCCTCTTGTTTCTCTGCTGTCAAACATTCTGTTCACGAGTAACGTCATATAATACTTATGTCTACATAAGTAGCACACACCATATTATTATTATTATTTCAATCTCATATACCAATCTCCATTCACTGTTACTCCTTTCTTAATATACTCACCTTCTATTCTCTATCCCTTCAAAACCCCATTATTATTCTGTGGCTCATATGTATTTGGTGCCCCTTGTACTAATGTTTACGTGTTCAAATAAATAAACTGATATGCATTATGACTAGGATTATATGGAGTTTTCAAGCATCCCTTTTAGTCACTGAAAATAAAATATGATTGACATAAAAAATGTATTAAGATATCACATTTATTTAGTTCCTTTGAATCAATAAACTACTGTCTCTTGTTGTTAGAAAGATATATACTACTCCTTTCTTCTCTCCTGACCTTAACCCAAACAACTAATCATTCATAATCATCTCCATTAGTCTCATCAAATCAAACATGCATATACATTAATTATGCTTTCGGTCAGATGAAATTAATTAAAAGCAAACATCTACAGATACTAATCAAGATGAAAGTAAATCGTTCTACCTTTCTCTAGGTTATGACCTTCAGAAATCTAATCCATTTTTCATACCTTAATTTTATACCAATGACAGTACATCAGTTTGTTAGATGAAAACTATATAACAAATTGTGAATTAATGGTTATCAAACAAATAACTGTGTGAATTATGACTTTAAATATGTTATAAGGAAACATCTTTTCAAGAATGTAAATTTATTATAAGTCTATGAAAAAATTTAGCGATGAGAATGACTGATGGAAGTGAAAATGTCATTTAAAATACTGTTTCCTATCAAAAAATCTAATGTCAAAGAGAATGAATACATTTTAGGTACGGTGAGACTATAATTTATGGACGAATCAATCAGATTTTGGCACGAAATTCACTCACCCAATTGTCTAAATAGTGTCCTAGCATTTGTACAATATTTAATTGATTTATAATAATATAGGAGTATTCTCTATAATTAAGTAATAATAGATCTCTGAAAAAAATGTATTCAATTATTATGCTTAAACTCATTTTATTTAATCACAAAGGAACGTCAATATTATTATCAAAATAGTCACTCATTTGAATTTGTTTGAAAAGTAAATTACTTTTATCCCCCGAGCGAGATGTACTGCTACAAACTCAATCAATATGATCACATCTGATTTTTATATTAATACTCAAGAATATTTTCTGAGATAAGAATTGTGATGATATATAACGGTGAAATATTTTGTATATGAAGCTGATTGATTAATAATAATCGGTAGTTTACACAATGAATGAATCATTGTTGATGGAACAAAAATTAACTGAACAATTTAATAATAAACTGAATGAAAATTTCAATTTCACTGAGAAATGATTCTTTATAATGACAAATATAAGATTATAAGACAATAATGGAACTTCTAAAATACCAGTGCATGATTAAATAATATTTTGTATAGAAAAATCTGTGCTTGAATAGATGTGGTCTTCAGTGTCGTTACATATTGTATATTTTTCGAACTCGAATTTCAGTCTTTAAATTTCACCAATCCCATGGCGTCTCAATGGTATTGTGTGTTTAAGGTACTAGCATCAGATACGCCATTAAATTTTATATACAATTTATACAGTGGTATATTTCAGCAGAGATACAGCATTCATATAAACTTCACTAATTTGCTAAATAATTATATAATAATCTAAACGACTGTGAAAACAGATAGATTTGTTTGGTTTCGATTAACAGAGATAAATTAATAATTAGTACACAATTTCAAGTGCTTACATTTTATTTTAATTGAGTAAGTATGTGTAACAATATGCAATATCAAAACTCCACTTGTAGCTCTTTTAGAGTTACTGTTGATCCCAAAATCCACACAAAGAAGGAGGGTTGGGCGTGAAATTGGCAACCCTATCTCGTAGAAAACAACCTTGTTAAAAAAACGCTAAACCAGAATAAATAATTTACACCATTTAAAATTTGCCCTACAAACTGAAGGGAGAGTTATGATGCCTCATGATGAAAGCCGAAATTCTTCGGACGTCACAAGGCTAATGCCAATTCTGACAATACGGAACGTCCGAACAATGTGGGAGACCGACAAACCCAGTCAAATAGCAACGGAAATGAGGAGATAAAACTTGGTGAATCCCGGAATCATCGAAACCTAATAGACTCAATCTGGAGAGCAAAGATTAGGTACGGGTGAGTTGCTGCTATACTCTGGTCACGAAGAGGGAAATGTTCCACACATTCAGAGAGTTGCTCTAATGCTGTCCAAGGAAGCACGGGATGCACTTGTAGGATGGGAATCTCATGCATCCAGGATCATCAAAGCATCATTTAAAACAAAGAAAGAGGGAATTACAATGAATGCTATTAAATGTTATGCACCCACTAATAAGGTGATGACAAAGATCAGTTTAACAAGAGGCTGCAATCGATCATAGTGAAGTTTCCAGGAAGGGACCTGACAATCCTGATGGGAGATCTAAACGACAA